GAGTAGAAAATGAAGGCTAATCATGTTTTGGGTGTACTATTCCTTTAAGGAAATGACTGGATGCCCACTGCTTCAGATGAGAAAAGGCCACTGGCAGTGATGGGGTGATGGAGGTCATGGGATCATTGGACAAGACGGATGAAAAAAGATAAGTGAACTGACACACCAGATTTCTTATTCACAACGAAAAATTATGGGCAACTTATTTTAAACCAGTTTATTAATACAGATCTATGAATAATAGATTTCCTTTACGGGGATCAACAGGTAGATGTAATATCTTTCTAAACAACACGGCATCTCAGCAGCTGCAAACATCCGTCCTTCTGAAGTTTAGGAGCAAAGTTAGTCTCTGTGCCCCCTGTAGGTTAATCCATCCTGCGACTAAAGAAACAAAGTGTCCAATGTCTCTTCAAACAAATAATCCATTGTTCATTTTGAAACATTTCCATCCGTAGTGTAGTCAAAGCTATTCAAACAAAATTAACATGCGTGCCATGTCTTTTTTTTATTTTTTATAAAGGCTAGGATGTTAGTAAACAAACAGAAAAAAACAAACAAACATACAGACACAAACAATGACAAACATGTAAGACAACAAAAACCCCAGTGGTGCCTCCGACTCCTCTAAGAAGGTGTTGGTTCATCATGTCATTCGTTTAATGGAGGGGTGTCAAACTGGTTCCAGTAAGGGCCGTGTGGCTGCAGGTTTTCTTTCCAACCAAGCAATAGCATCAGACTCCAGTCATTTCATTAAGTGAGTCCAATCTGAACATGATGACTTGATGAGATGACTGGAGTCTGGTGTGCTATTGCTTGGTTGGAAAGAAAACCTGCAGCCACACGGCCCTTACTGGAACCAATTTGACACCCCTGATTTAATGCCTCTGTCAGCATGACCGCTCTTAATGGGGACGCATTTCCACCCCAACAAAAGTCCTCGAGTTTCAAACCACCACATCAATCTGTACCTCATAGGTCATATCAGAACCAGAGAGGAATTAAACATGCAGCTCCCAATCTCTACACCCTGTATCTGGCATGCTGCGTTCTTACACCATCTCTCTCATGTCCTAATCCATGGTTCCGATCCAGTCCAGTTACTAACCAAGTCAGTCCAGTCAGTCAGAACCTATTCAAATCCTCCTTCCAAACATTTCAACTATCTGAACCCCTCTCTCTCT